CTATTTTATACAATAGAAGAAGTTAAGCAGGAAACAAATTTAGGGAAAATGAGGATATATGAGAAGAAATAGCCAGAAAACAGGAACTGAGAGAGTGTCTTGGAAATTTTTTTTTTTTTAATAACGTAATTTGCAGACTTTAAAGTGAAATCAAAAGGTAGACYTGAAGAAATCAGCGAGTAGTAGAATACAGAAAGAAAATGAAAATGGACAGAGACCATACAACAGGTATGGATGAAAGATGGGATCTGACAAAGATAGCAGGTCCACATTAAATTGTAGAACATTTCTGTAAAGGAAAGAGAGATTTGAATTTGAGCTTTAAGTGAGTTTATCTCTCCAACATATTCTAGCAAAACCAAAAGCCCAAAAGCCAAAAACAAACAACAACAACAACAAAAAACCACATTGCTGTATGTATAAATGTGGCTATATAATCAATGTGATCCTACAATCTGTAAAACGTGGAAAAATAATAATTCATACCCTATTTGAATCAAATGTATGATATGTCAAGATCATTGTATTGTCTTGAGCAACTAATAAAAAAAGAAAAAAAGAATTACTTAATTTCAAAGGCACAAAAGTATTCTATAAGCACTCAGGATGCATAAATTGGTAACTTGAGAAAAACAAGAAGTCAAATTGAACCCAGAATTAATATTTATATGACATATTAGGCACMAAAAGAAAATATAGATATCTAACCATGGGRATTATTCCACACCACTTACTTCTCACATAGTGTGATGAAGTCTTTTTATAAATACTAAAGAGTGATGTCTTTTTCTAGTTATTGATTTATAGCCTCTCATCTCCAAATTCACACTTGGTTGCTGGATTCATGAAATGGAAGTGGATCTTTTAAGTATTTTTCTTTGCTAGTTGGCATGATGTCAACCTTTGTCAGGAGCAGGCTGTGGACAATCATTTTCAACAGAAGAGCTTTTAATCTCTAGTTGCTCTCTGCCTACTTGTAGAGTCTTGCAGCATGGATGGGTACTTCAATGAAGTTCTTGTAAAGTAGTGTAGTAAATAACTTGCCTGGCTCCTCAGGAAATGTTGCAGGGAAAAGCCTCAGGTCAGACACCCCTGGCAAATAACTATTTCTGTTCTTTTTCAGTCCAAAGTACTGAAAGTTAAAGCAACTTCCTCAGTCCAGCCCTGAGGGTTTAGTTGCTTCTTATATTTTCTATTCTCATATAATTTCTATGAAAAAAAATCCACAGATTTCTTTGCCCTAATTTTTATTGGCCATTCCTTCATTACCCCAATTCTCTGTTACAGTTGATCCTTCTTTATATTAAACTTTCTCTGTTGAAATATGCTTTTGGGGGGCATGGGGAATACCAGAGATTGAACTCAGGAACTCTCAACCACTGAGCCATATTCCCCAGCCTTATTTTGTATTTTATTTAGAGACAGGGTCTCACTGAATTGCTTAGTGCCTTGCTGTTGCTGAGGCTGGCTTTGAACTCTTGATCCTTGTGTCTCAGCCTCTTGAGCTGCTGGGATTATAGGCATGTGCCAGTGAGCCGGGCCACTATGTACTTTTTCTCTTCAAGTTAACCAGTATTGCCAGAGATTCTTAATCATTTTTAAATGTCATTTAAATACAAAAATCTTCTCCTATTTTTTCTTGTGTTTGTGTGTGTGCATAATATATGTGTGCATCAATTTGTTTGCAAATGAGAATATTGTAAATAAACAGGTTCTTCATATCTTGCATTCTCAGGGGATGTCTGTCATTTATATCAGGTTCTTCCTTGGTATTCCACTTCAGTCAGATAAAAGAAAGAACATTCAATAAGTTCCCAGTGATTAGAAACTCTGGGAAGAGGTAACAGAGATATTTGCATAGAAATGCATCTGGAAGATACCTTGGAGTTCCTTTTTTCTGTTCTAAGTATAGGTTCTTTGCTCTCTCTTGTATCTTTGAGTGCTCATATTTTAAGATAATTAAACTTAAACCAGAGATTTCATATCCAGTCRGGTGTCTTTCACATATCTTGGTATGACAGAGTTATATTAAATATGCAATTATACATGTAACCTTCTGAGAGAAGAAAACAATTTTTGATATGCATTAACATGAAGAAAAATATCTTGAAAATGGAGAAGCTAAAAAATAGAAAGATTGGTAGTGAACCTTGACATCATTTACATGGAGAATTAAGTTTAAATGATTGTAGCATGTATTTGTGTCCATTTGTTCAAAGCAAATTTATTGTCTATGATGTCAATTCTTCCCAAATTAGTTCATAAATTTAAGTCATTTCCAGTTAAACTGCTGAAGGGATTCTTTGCTAATAGTTTAAATAGATTCCTTCTAGCAAATGTGCCACGATAGCTTATAATTTTTGAAAAATGAAATTCATGAATAAGAAATTTTCCTGCAAAGTTATCAGATTATGATGATGGGACAGTAATTAAGATACCATGGTACTAGCACGAGTATAGATAAATATGTCAGTGGAACTGAGTGGAGAACCTGGAAATAGCCCAGGTATTTGGAAGTATAATGTGAAAATGTCCATGGTGATCCACCAGGATAAGGGAGAAAAGGGAATAACCACTGCACACCACATACAAAACCAAATTCCAGACAATTGAAGGAACAGCAACCAAATCCTGCAAACATTCTGAAAGAAAACATGAAGCTATATGATAAGAAATAGCCATAAAAGAGGTACTGAGATAGTGTCTTGGAAAGAATTATTTTTAAGTAACATAATTGCAAAATTTGAAGCTCTGGGCCTTCTAGGCAACCCCTGTGGTTCCAATGTTCCCCAATTCTTCCCAAACCCTGTGCTACAATAATATGATCTCTTCCTTTGTATCCCTTGGGCTTAATGATGTTGGTTGCTTTCTATTGATATTAATCCTTAGATTACCTCTTTATTGCTGCTTGGCTTTTTACTTCTTCTGTCATCTCCATAAAAAAATTCTTCATATTAAATTTTGTAAACATAATACATTCGAATGATTTTTGAGCTAGTTGACATACACACATATGCACAAACACACACACCTCTTTCAGCCTTTAGCTTAAAAAAGATTTTTAAAACAMGCTACATAACCATATACTGAATGGAAGAATGAATGTTCCTCATAAATTGTTAACTCAAAGAAGGAGAGTTGATATGCTAATATAGCCCATTACAAAAATAAAACCACATGTGTGTCTAAATACATTTATATGATTACCATAACAACTATCCTCGTAGGGAAAAAAATGATATGAAAAAATATCTCCTAAGAAGAAAGGTTATCCCTGTTAAACTGAAGGAAGAGATGTGTGTGTGACTTGAGGGAAGGGGTGCTCTAAATTTTACTCTATTTACAACTGTGTTGTTTGGATTTTTCTTTCTCCTGTCATATCCCACATTTGTAATTTCAAAAAAAATTAATAACAGGTAATAAAACATGTACATTTTTATTTGTAACAGAAAGTGTCTGAAAGCAAAGACAATTCTGCTGTAATGCTTGCTTTGAAATGAAAATCTGTTGCAACATGATTAGAAAATTTGAGCATGCATCTTTGCTGATTTGTAGTTCTGTCAGAGAAAAACATCAGGTGCTTTTTAAAAACTGCATCCTTTTTGAACTGAAAACCTGAATGGTGTTATTATGCACAAAGTGTGAGCTCGTGCACACACATGTGCACACTTCTCTTACACTCCTTCCATTGTTCGAAGTTCACATATGTTATCATGGACTATGACATCCACATATATGTACATGATATTATAATTTTCTGTCTGACTGCAGATAATTCTTCTTCTAACACTTCATCATAACTATAATCCGCAATACTTCCACAGTCTATTTCCACAAATTTAAGGCCTATTTCAATGCAAACCCTGTATTTAGTTTAGTACTTATAGATGTCTTAATCAGGCAATGTGTAAAAATGTGCTTCCATTTTTATTAGGCTCTAATTTTTTTTTCTTGTGGGTAATTATGAAGTTTTTGGTTGTTGTGCCCTAATCTTATTTTTCTCAGAAATCCTGTGATTTGTATTGGATACTTTTTTGTTTATAGTATGGTGATTTTTAGGTGCCCATATGTGATATTATAACAGAACTGACTAAAATGCACTAAAATGTTAATAGTGTCTCTGAATGGTAACTTGTTTGTTGCTTATCTATAGTTTCTATTTTTTAAACATGTTTATGTATCAATAACTTCATTAAGTAACAGTTTCAAYGATGAGATAATAATTAAAGATGATCACAACTCTTTGAGGTAAAAGGCTGAGGCTATTCTGTCATGCACCRCATATTCACTGGAGATGCAGAAAATTAATTACCCTCTAGTCTACCTAAAAGGTACAATCACTTAAGCTCTTTCTAGAAGAAAGAGGCAAGGTCTCACAGCAACAGCTGGCAGCTTCTTCTGTAAATGCTTAGGAGAATAGAGAAGCCATGATGCTTATGACGTAAACCAAATGCTCTTGAATTGGATTGCAAACATTTGAAAGTTAACTGGATTGAGATCCAGAAATACATAACAAGCCCAAATTCAGTGCTTACTGACTTTGGAGCTTTCATTAGGTAGAATACCCAGATCCTTCATGAAATAGGGTCTTTGAAGAGGCTACCAACTTAAACACATTGTGAATTTCAAAACTAGGAGAGATAAAATACTCTTTCTGATAAGCTCTGACTTTTGAACTTCCATCCACTTTTCCAGAGTGAACTTTCATCCTTTATCACCTCTCCTTACCTGCTTTTTCTTTCCAAGGCACACTCTTATTTTCRTTTTATTTTAAAATCTTTCCTATTTTTTGATGCTCAGTTACTCTGGCTACAGTCAAACTGCACTGTGAGTCTTTGATTTGGGGGACAAGTCCTCCCTTTCCTCCCCCACATGCCCGCCCTTTTTGGGATGGTGTCCAGTGAACTCTGAACTTGTTCTGGATTCTTGTTTTTCCTGTCTGCACAGAATCTGCTGCTGGCTGGGCTCTCTCTGGAGCTTTGTCTCTAGCTGTTCCTGACAGAGGCTTGTGCTGTGCTGCACATCTCGTCCTCTTTGTTCACCCTCTGGCTTCAACCACTGAATCTCAAATACTCTCCAGCTGGGAATCAGAGGAGGGCAGGAATGAAGAACCCAGAAGCCCAACAGGATGTTTCCGTTTCCCAGGGTGTTCGCATGATGTTTTACATGATGAAGCCCAATGAAACTTCATTCCAAACTCCAGAAGAGGTGCCTGATTACGTAAAAAAGGTGAGACTATACTGAAGGAGGCAATCTGGATCTTTTCTTAATAAGAAAGAAGTAAGGTCAACATATCCTGGGGATTTGTTCTCTTTCATTCTTCAAATTATTACATTCCAATAAAAATAATTCAATTTCTTGAAGGCATAAAGCAAAAGAAGAATTTCTACTTGAATTAAAATCTCATACAATATCCATTTTTGTCTATAAATCCCCTCCTTTATATGTTACTCTAGAATATGATAAAAAATTTAAAAGTTTTCCTAGACACCATGGCATTGTGCTTTTAGCAGTTGGAAACTCAGTGTCAAACAGTTACACCACATCAATAAACTTTGTAAAAAAATTTTATTTTAAAATGTTTAACTTGCCCACCACTTCCAAAAAAGTATTACCTCTTTAATTAGGTAGAATTGTGCAGAATGAAGGATATGCAGCAGCTTGACTCAGTCCAACTCTGACTTCCTAGATTTGAACTTGAACCAAGTTTTCTTTGAAACTCTCAAGTGCTCAGAGGCACTTTTCACTTTTGGTTCCTGGCTATGATTGGAAGTGGAAATATCCAGAATTAGAACTTGAATACTGAAGTTCCCCACCCTGACAAGTAGTTCCTACCACACTTGCTAGTTTAAGCCAGGAATAGAAAAAGATGACATCAGAGAGTATGTTCTCCAAAGTTCAGTTTAGAAAACTTCACAACTCATGATCAGCCKCTAAATGAGTGAAACCCATATTGTTTTCAAAATTCAATATTGCTTTTTCTTTTTTATGTTTAAAGAGAATTTTGTTACTCATCTTCATAAATCATTATTTATATCATAATGTCAAACAAAATCTAATATTTATTCATCAATACTACAGCCTTAATGGTATAAAATAAAACAAAATAAATATATAAATAAAAAATAATAATTGCATAAAATAAAATTAAAACTGAAGGTATGAAACTTTGGTGGTGTTTTGAACAAGATGGAAAATTACCTTATTCTCTAAGACTCTGAGAAGAAAATTGTTTTTACTCTTTCAATTTCATCATTAGAAGTAATTCTAATATATATATATATATATATATATATATATAATATATAAAACTAGAAACAGTTTCATTCTTAAGGAAATGCTCTTAAAGTGAGTCTCACTCAGTCATAGGTATATGATAAACTTCTGGTTACTTATTTTAAATGTATTTTTTGGAACTTGGTATGTGTCCTTCCTACTTTTATTATTTTCCTGGCACAATTATCATAGTTGTGTCTATAGTTATATTTAATTTTCAAATTTGATGTTAGAATTTGACCACAGATTTAGTGTATGCCCTAAATACACTAGATCTCTTTGCCCATCAAATGGGAAAAGATCTTCTAAAATAGGTCTATGCACATCTCCTGCTCGGTCTCCCAATTATGGAAGGACTAATCAGAAAGTATGGGAGAATTTCATTATCAAACACCATAGCCTTTCTTCTTTGTAATTTCCTTTCCAGGCTACTCCATTTTTCATTTCCTTTATGCTGCTTGAACTGGTCATCAGCTGGGTTTGCAAAGGGAAGCCATTAAGTCGCGTGGATGATGTTTTAACATCCTTATCGGCTGGTATTCTGTCTCGGCTTCCAAGGTAAGTTAGATGATTTAGCAACAATATTTTTTAAAAAATAAATAAAACATCAATAACAACAAAAAACAAACAAAACCCCTTAGYATCTCCAAGAGTGAAGAGAAATGTACCTATTATGTGGGAACTTGCTTAATTCCATGTATTTCCTCAAAGAATTCAGCTCCTGTCATTATTCACATTTTTACCATTTTTTTTGCCATTGTTTTTCTTGGTATTTTTTTTAAAAATCTAGAACATAATTTATCTTGATTTCTGAGTTTCTTGGCACACCCTTAAATTTTGCACTTGCATTACTGTACTTCAAGCCCTAAGTCATATTCTAATTTTCTATTGAAAATTTTATTTTGCTCTAGCATAATTCACACAGATAGCTCCCTGAGCTGCAGCATTCCCTAGGCAAGTCATATAAGGGTCTGGACTATTACAAAGTCTCAAAGTCCTACCTCTAGTATGACCCCTTTGGCAGCCAAATATGTCTATCATCTGGATCCAATAGAAATCTTCACTGGTTCTGAATTGCTCTGAGAATAAAATACAAATCCTAAACAACAGAGGGCTTTTTCTTTCTGTCCTTGCTTTTGGTCCCTCCATTTTCCTGCCCCTTAGTCATCTTTGTTCTTTCATGCTGTGCTATGTGGCTTGGCCAACACACCACAGGTGCTTTGTTTTGCCTGCAAAGCCATCCATGTGGCCATCTCCAATTCATTTCTTTTGTCTAAACAAAAGTCATTCTTCTTCACTCTCCTCAACAAGCCTCATCCATTTTCCAACCCTCTCTTAGGCAGCACTTCACTATTGTCCCATGAACTCTCATGATCACCCCAAATTGTTCCCATGAACTCCCGGGCAGGTACAGGATCACCCCAGGTGCAGGATCATGGCCTGTTTTCCTCCAGCCCTCCCTGCTCACTTGCATACAACTTGGGAATAAGAGGTGTACTTATCTCATACTTTCATTTCATATGCCTGGAATGGTGCTTGGTATGTGGTAAAAGTTTAGAAAATAGTATTCTTAGTGTGTCATGTTGATGATAAAATTGGACAATGAAAAGAGTAAGTAGTAGTAAATAATAAGTGACCTGCTTTATAGAAAGAGTAACTAGTGATGTATTAGGGAAACCCCAATGAATGCAGGGCATTTTCACTGTATAAGGATTAGCCAAAGAAGCAGAGGTGAAGCAGTCCTCAGAAGCCTGTACTCTGGGCTGCTGAGGAATGTTCTCATTGCAACCTCCCAGGCCTTGCTGCTTTTACTGTTTTAAGAGCTTTACTTCTGACCAGTGCTCATTGCTTTGGAATGTTTCTATGAACCACCCACTGGGAAACTAAGGTGGATTTTTAAAAAAAATGTCAGTATAATTTTAAAGTATTTGAGAAAAGGTGAAGTGACTTCATAATATAGTCTAGATAGAAGTTTGATCTTAAAACATCTCTCAAGTGTTACTCTGAGAAAAGTAGGTTAGGTATATATAGTACTAGTAATAATTTTAGTAATAATGACTCTGAAAAATCATTGGTATGGTTGAACATTGCAGCTGGAATCAGAGGAAGATAGTCCAGTTATTTGCAGCTAATTCCCAGCTTACCTTAAGGATAGATTTAAAATTATAGACAATTTCCTCCATTACACATCTCCTGGGAACATAAATGAACATATATGTGTTCATTATACTCAGGGATATGTAGATTTGAATRTAGATTTATTTATTTTAAAAATTCAATTTGTGCCAGGTGTGGTGGTGACATGCCTGTGATCCTAGCAGCTTGGGAGCCTGAGGTAGGAGGATCACAAATTCAAGGTCAGCCTCAGCAATTTAGTGAGGCCCCAAGCAATGTAGCAAGATCCTGTCTCAAAATAAAAAATAAAAAGGACTTGGGATGTGGCTTAGTGGTTCAATTCTTAGTAGCCGCCCCCCCCCAAAAAAAAAAATCACAGTTGTTACTGTAATTTATTCTGAAAACAATTAAGTGTATAGGTTATTGGAAATCAGAAGGTTGATCAACTATACAAATCACTTGATAACTGAGAAGGTGCAACTGCAACCCAGCAGGTGCAATTATGGGTCACACACATATTTTACTGATTGGAAGTAAAAATGTTAAGAGCATAGAGAGGCAGTAAGTGAATGAATTCGCATTTCTTTTACTTTTTCAAGTTTGACTTTCACTGCAAATCAAATTAGATTATTCTCTTTTCATAACATTGTAACTAGTATAAACACACATTGTATCCTCAGTACAATATTTCTGCTTAGCAGAAAAGGTACAGAACTATAAAAAAGTAAAACAAAAATCAAGTACATACTTTTACAAAAACACACACAAAAAGGGAACACACTAATTCCATCCTCTACACCTGACAGAGAAATAGGGGGTGGGGGTGGGGGAGGGGAGGAAGAAGGAAACAGAAGGAAAGAAAGAAACCAAAACCAAAACAAACCCACCAGTCCTTCAGGGACAGAACATGAAGTTCTCTTCCTTTATCCACTACTCATAACACTCCTTAAGCTAACACAAACTGTTAACTCCAGTACCCTTTAAAGAGAAAGGTAAAAGGTTATGAACTTGAATTTGGCGAATATTTTCTATAGCTATATCTCAAGAATGAACAGCAAGTGCTCCCCCTACCCCCGCCATATAAAGAGCAATGTGTGTAGTTTTCTGTTTTGCAAAGAATTTCATATTCTATAACCTTTTACCTGGAAGATAGAGGAAAGCAAATTATCTGAAAGTGAAATATAAAAATACTTTCTTCTCTTTTTATTTTTGTACTATCAGACAAAGACAAGGTATAAGTAGAAATGGAAAGCTGATTCTCAGGGTCCACCCCACTCAATCCTTTTTCAGGGCGGGGGCGGGGGATGGAATATGAAGGGGAAGCTGACATCAACTCTTACAATTAGTATTTCAGCTGAAGCCAYTGCATCAAGGGGAATCCCTGTGCAAATCATTAACAGCTGAGGGTTAGATTAACACAGCATTGATCACATCCTCTCCAAGGGACTAATTTCATTTTCTATGCTAGCAACAAGAGTTTGCCACATCCTTAAAATATGTAATTGCTAGAAAAAAATGACTATACCATTCACTTGTGAAAAGCTGTGCTTTGGGTAATAATTGTAAGTAGATATGTGGCTCCTGAGGAAAAAAAAAAAAAAAAGAAGTGGAAATCAAAGTGAACATGTTTTTCCGCTTYGCCATTCATAGAATGGAAATGTTGTATGCAGACTTTGAGGAAAAGCAATGTTTATTTGAAGATCTCAATTAAATGATTACATAAAATTTGAAGTGTCTTAAAGATTGATAGCGAACTTATCACATTCATAAAAAAGAAACATGCTGCACTTTTCAAATATTTAACCGTGGACAAGATTATATCTTGTTTACAAGCCTGTTGGACAGACCATGATCTGTAATAAAAGTCCATCTGTCCCAAGAACCAGATTCTGGGTATTCCTCCATTTGTTTTGCACTTCTGAAACCTGGTAGGAAGACTTCTTAATCAGAATTTTGTCCTGAATTTATAAATAGATATTTTTATTTATCATAATTARACACAATTTATCATGGAGATAATCTGCTTTTCTGTCATAATTTACAAGTATAAAAATTAAATTTGATTTAACAAAATAGGTACAAAATTTATTTTTAAAAAATGCTATCTAAAACTTGTGACATATTTTGCTACTGACTTAAATGTTAACGAGTGAAAAATAATCGCATCTTTTTTTTTCCTTCTTGTTTAACCAGAACTCAATTTCCAACCCTTCATTAGAGAACCAGGACCTCAATTTGTTACTTCCTTCCAATGTTTCTGCTTCCATAAATTGCATCCTCCCCAGAGAAGCTTTATTCCCGATATAAATATCTACAGTATGTTTGTTTTTAATGGGTTCATTTATTCTGTTGAAACAGCAGATTATAAATCAAATTGCAATAGGTTGGAGGGATAATTTAAGTAGGTAAATTTTCAAATAAGTTGGGGACACTCCACTTTTAATATGTATGGGTCGCTGCCAATTTTTAGTATGGAGCTAGCTCCTGCAATGTTCAACCATACATATGCACATTTTTACTGACTATGCTTGCTATGGAATTTTCCATTCCTGACAAAAACCTTTCAGTTCATTAAAAAAAAAAAAGGAGGAAATTAAACTACTTTGAAATACTTTTGACTCCTTAGGGTGGGGCTGGGAAAAAAAGAAAAATTGTATACTGGGTTTTTATACTACACATTAGCCATGGGGCAATACTACTTTTGGCAACATTAGACTCTTAACAAATGAGTGTTTATCATTTTGGATGATGAATTTAATAAGCAGTATTCACTTTTCCAATCAGAGATAAGTGAATGAAGGTAATGTTTAGAATAGCACCTTATTATTAATATTAAATGATTATTTGCTCAAAGAATAATTTTAAATACTTTTAAGACATAAGAAAAATTTCACTTAAATATTTTTTTGGTTTGTTGGTTACATTTTCTGGGAAGAATACCTCATTTCCTCTTAATTTTTACATTAGATGCCTTATTAATAGATTTTGTCTTCGTTGTGAATTAGTAAYTTTAAAGATTATTGTGAGACTAACCTCTATGCTGCCTTCTTTGCTTATTCTTTACATTTTCCTGTAAAGAATATAGTAAATTTGCTTTTTCCAAAAAATTACCTCATTGTATTTACAAAAGTTTATAATTTTATGGTTGTAAAAAAAACTATATGTGACTATTTTAGAATTGTAATATAATTTAGCAGTAAGAAATSACTGTACACATTTTATCTGTTTTCGGGAGGTCGAAGTTTTATTATCTATCTTACTATTACTGAGCAAAAATCAATATTCCACTAGATGGAGCAAAAGTGGCAGTAGCTTTACAGAAAGGCAGTACAAGTTTTTGGGTCAGTTTTAAGAGATTTTGAAATAAATATATAATAAAATTTCTCGGAAAATATATGTATATAATTATATGGACATATGCATATATTTCAAAATATTTATTCATACTTATTTATCTATTACTTACTAGTGTTTTTTAAAGAATCATTTTAATTGGTCCCATTAAATATTCATTTATTTTCTAGCTTACAAGACAAGGCTATTAAAAATAAAAATGTCTAATTTATTTCTATGCCTTTTGCATAGTCTGGCTAACTCAGGCAGTAAACACAATTATGGTCATAGTTTTTGAGTAGTATAAATTGTTGGATGCCTTGAAGTCTGGAAACATAATTCTTACTCTTGAGAGTTGCTTTGAAATGCTAACCATTTGCAATGGGAGCATCACATTAAGTTTCACTTGCTTTTCTTACTGATTAGAGTTTGAGAGTGTCTGAGAGCTAGATAATATTAGGGCTCATTTATCCTAATGTTCTCATATCCTAAATTAAACCCCAAAGTACTAAAAAGCTGAATGACATGTTCAGTGTCACATTTCTACTCTTGGTAATGGTAGATTCAGGCTGAGGTGACTTTCAAAACTAATAGCTTGAAATTCTCAACTCCCAAATAATATTTATTTCAACTTTATTGAATATTTTTAATATCATCATTATAAATGAACTTTATCTGAAAACTCAGGTCATTACTAAATAGCAACTTTGTACCTTACTAAGTAATTTTTTACAGTAACTGAACTTTGACAGGACAAAGTTCTRGTAATGAGAGAAAATATTATGTAAAACACATGAAGAATCATCACACTAGTTAGATAAGTGAGTTACCTTTTATTTGCCAAAAGACATTATCTCTGATCCAAGACTACCTCTATTTGGGGAGTGGGGGGAATCTATGAAGAAATAGGACAATGGGAGAAGAGCCTATTTTGATTTCAAATGTCTCTTTATATTGAGATCATTTTGGGGGCTCACATCCAAACAATGCATAAAGAGTATTTAGTATTTGTAATTCCAAGACCCTGTGCTACCCAATATTCCATCTTTGTGGGATATAGTAAGCTCATAATGTATATACACTTGTGTTTTAAATACCTTTTCTCACAGGAAGGGGCTTAGAGAGTTCAAGTTTGAATTCCAGAGTACAGAGTCATACATAGGGTTTTAGGATGGATAAAGGAGCAGAGGAATTAGAAAGAGAAAAAAAGGAAAGAGTTTTGGCTTTGATTCAGGGTCTGGTGGGAACAGTTTTGAGAATGTAGGTGCTATTTCCTGCAATCAAAGACTTTTCAGAGATTGATAATCATTTCGAAGCTGTATCACTTTGGTGAATTGTCTTTAATTGTGGGCACTGCCAGCTGTATCACTTTGGTGAATTGTCTTTAATTGTGGGCACTGCCTGGTTAGTCTTTCACATGAATAATGGAACAGTATTATATTCATCTTGCTGAGAGAAAGGAGGGAATACAACTCCCACAGCTTCTCCCCTCTTTCCCTCACCTTGAAGAAAGTTTGTTTCATGCTAAAGTGTGAAAAAAAAGGCTTGACTATACTATGTCAGACATATTTCAACTAGATTTGTGTCAACCCTAATAAGTCAGTTGACAGAGTAATAAATTGGGTGACTGCTCAAGGTCTGGCACCTGTACAGGAAATAAATAATTTCAATTGCAAGCAGGTTCTATTTACTTTATGAAAGAAAGTTTTTTCAAGGACCCTCTTTTATTGAGATCTTGGTACCATAATGCATATTTTAGTTGTCATTTGAATTCATGAAGGAGATAGAAAAAAAAWTTTAAATGATATACATAAGAGACCCCCATGAGGCAGGTGATTATGTTTGCCCTGTTTGACAACATCTCCTGTGACTCATGCTGTGCCTGAAACTTAGTGGGCTCCTAATATGGGTTATTTGAATGACTGAATGAATCCATGGATGAGACTGCTTCAATACCATGTACTGAACTGTACATAACAATCTGTAGATATTTCAACTCTCTGTTGCATTTTCTAAGTTTTAATTTTTCCTTCTTGATTCATTGCTTTATTTAACACTGATTATCAGGTGTGGATAATTTTTCTCTCCAGGAAACATTTGACAATGTCTGGAAATGATTTTGGTTGTCATAAATGATGTGGGAAATGATGCTACTGAAATTAGTGGATAGAAAACAGGGATAAGCCATACATTCTATAATGCACAGGACAGGCCCTCATACCAAAGGATTATCTGGTCTTAAATGGCAACAGTTTCAAGATTGAGAATCCCTGCTTTAGAGAAATTATTAGGTTGRACTATATAAAGCTGACAGTATTTATGATTTTTTGACTGAAACATTAATTTTACATGGGTAATGCTCCAATAATTGCAATTGAGAGCAATTTTAAGATTTCACAGTTGGAGGAAATGTTTGTGCAAGACAGTGTCCCACAGCAAGAATTCTCATGACCAAATGTCAATAGCATACAAATGTCAATAGCCTTAGTAATACATGGAGATACCAACTAAGCTAACAGTCTTTAAGATAAAATTTATTCTATTCCTCACCTTGACAGATATCTTTGATAAAAACTTGGAAGGCAGTCATTAAATTTCCAGCTCTTAGATTCCTCAGAGTTCCATACTCAGTGGGAGAACCTGACTCAGGGTGTGCCCTGGCCCATGGGGACCACTCATGCATAGGAACTCCAGACTTCTTGTCCCAATTCTGCTTGTCTACATGTCCAAAAACAAACACTCTTGGCAACATAGTGAGGTCTAGGAATTGACACTTGTGGAGGTCTACCCTCAGCAAGACTTTATGAGAAAGAGTCCCATAGAAGGACTAAAAGCTACTTTATCAGGGGATTATGGTATATTCAGAGCATTGCTCAGGTTGGTATTGCGTTAAGCAAGATCAATTTTCCTGGGTTACGGACTTCACTCAGGAGCAAAACTTACAGCTATGTAATCTAAAATTTCAAATTGAGTTTTAACATATGATGATGTATAATCCTGCTCAAAATGGTAATTACTTGACATTTTATGAGTTATGCATATTAATGCTATTGTGAAGTCATCTAATATTTTGGTTTGCAGATTAAATGATAATAACTTGAAACAAAGTATATGAGGTTATTTTAAAGATAGTGAATCATGATTAAATTCCATCATAATTGAACTCAAGAATAAAGTTAAGAATAAAGGCTAAGATCTCCAAATGACTCATAAACATGCTAATTCATAGAAACTGGACCTATAAAGGAAAATACTATTAAAATGAAGAATTTTAATAATATAATCTGAGCTGATGGTTTGATTTTTCTCTGAAATTATAATATTTAAGAAATTTCACAGAAAGTTGAAAACCAAATTTGTTGTTGACTTATAACTAAACTTTATGAGATAGAACAACCACTTTTGCTCAAGTGCTTTTGATTAATAACAATAAAATGAAAAGGAAAAGGCAATTCACTCAAATTTATAAAAGTGATAATAAAGCAAATGGTTATGTCAAATCTAATATTGAATTTGATTACAGAAATTTTGATCGCAGAAAAATTTTTAAAATGCTATATGAAATTAATGTATATTATTTATGTTTTTGAAAGTTATTTAAATAAAACATTTAATAGAATAGATGGCAAGGCATAGTGTGTTATTCAGATTTTTTATTATTCAGTTTTAAAACAATTATTTTAGCTATGCTTATACATCTATTTTAACTATATTCGTATACCTCTATATTTGTATTATACCTCTATATTTGTATATATCTAACATTCTGAAAGCTCTAATTTTTCTTCCATAAGTGAGATATTAAAATACTGTAAGAATATAATATGTGATACTAAACATAATCTACAAAACCCTAACTATGTAYGAAAGAGAGGAAGGAGGGAGGAGAGAAAAGAGAATAGAATTAGAAATAATCTATTTTAATCTGAATGTAAATTTTATAAATCAACATATTTGAAGACAGCAGGAAATTTGCAGATGTCTCAAAAATATGCCCTATATTTTTCTGCCCTTTATACTTCCTTTATAAGCCATGTTTACTGTGTTCTTCATTAAAATTTAGAAATGAAAATCACAAAAAAATAGTTGTTTTGTAAATTTTATAGGGGTTTCATGAAAAAAGTATTTTAAAGGACATGAGAAAGAAATGGTCTCCTGAATTCCATGAAATTTAGAGTGCAAACAACTAGCATCCATAGTGGCTATGAAACAGAAGGAAATATCATGAGAATCATTTTGATACCATGTAGTAAGCCTGTAAAAGTGATGAAATAGCAGGAAGAAGCAGCATAATGAAATAGTTTAATTTTTACATATGCTATATAAATTGAAAAACATTTTCTGATATATTTTAGCAAAATTGAGTATCTAAAATGGTTGTCACTAAATGCTTGTCACTCTTATTTTCCAGCCTGTTTTTCAGGAGCATTGAAGTGACCAGTTACATTTATATCTGGGAGAACTATAGGTTCTTCAGTTTGCCTTGGGATTCTCCATGGACTTGGTATCTCACCTTTCTAGGAGTAGACTTTGCCTACTACTGGTTTCATCGCATGGCCCATGGTAAGTACTAATAAGAGTTACTGTTAATTTTTGCTCAAGTGCTTTTGATAAATAGCAGGCATTCATTAAGTATTTATTGAATGAATAAACAAATAAAACTAATAATAAAAGTTTAAAATTTAAGTGGAGACAATCTGAAGCCATTTTTCAAGAAAATATATAAAATTTTTACAAGTACATTTCCTTATGATTCTAATTTTCAAAAAGTTTAGAAAATGATGGTTATGCATAATTTTTCAATGGGTTGCTTCCACTGTTTTATTACATTATGCTTTGTAGAGACTACAGACGATTGCTCAGAATGTCAAACCTCTCAATTATGAGGGGTCACTTAGTAAAGTTGTATTGCAGCAAGAAATTCTAGGTAACATGTGCTGTCAGAGTGAGCTTGATTCAATTTCTTGGCAGTATTTCCACATTACAAATGAAAATGCAATCAGCTAGGCATTGACCATAACGCACTTCAGTGTTACTGTAGTTTAGCAAAAATTCTCATTTAATACAAAGCCCTCTTACTGCACTGGTTCAATGATTTTGCCTTTTGGGATTCTTAGCTGTACCTTCCAAAGAAATATTTTGCTTTGAAAAGGGAAATGGAAAAGCAAGAACCAGGTCTGGATCTGAATTTCTATAGGGATAAGTGGGAGTTAAGGATGATTGTAGAACTAAGGTGAGCAAGTGGTCTCTGTGGAGAGCTAAGGCATGCCAAAGTAGTTCTGAGGGGAACCGCGGGAAAGTACTAATTTTGCAAAACTACTGAAGAACAGAACTCAGGATTCCAGTGGGTGGTTSGGTTGAGTGGGTGGGGAAGAAGGAAGGAAGAGGAAGAAACCTGGAATAATAATAAAAAATAGATGGGAGATGGAACGAAGAGACCCGGATCAGGGTTATGTGTGTAGGAGTACATGTGACCACATATTCTTCCCAAGGAAAGGAGAAGGAAATAGGAGGAGTGTGGCTGAGTGTTATGCATAAGGCTGATGAACCTTAAATATAACATTTAAGTACTTTAAACATGTGCATTTAATGGAATTATAAGAAGCGCTAATTCACTGAAACAATTCAAAGTAAATATAAGCTAGAAAAAGAACCTTTGTCTTTGAAAATAAGAGGTCAGCTCCTGACATCATTTCCTTTTGTATAAATGCAAGAAAATACACCCAAGTCCAACAGGATTAAGAATAAAAATGGTTTATGTATTAATCTATTTGTTTTTTTACTGCAAAGCAGTTGTTTTCTAAAATGAACTCGTTGGCAATCTTCCTCACATTCTATGCAACAAATGGGTACTCCAGAAAGACTTCACATTGTATTATTTAACAGGAACCTTCTAATAGCTCACTGTCCTGTACAGATGTGTTTGTTTGGAAAATCTGCAAATTTGCTTAGTCTTTGAAAGCCCATTATAACAGGAAACAAAGGCCCAACAAATTATTCCCAAATATAAAACTTTTAAAAAATATGTTGATTATAAGTGCTCTTACTTAGGAAAGAGCAATAAAATAAAATAACATATTAAAAATGTGGAATCAAGGTTATTTAAAGTATGCTTTCCATTAGAATATTTTGAACTGAATCCAGTGAAGGAGGCAGGCATTAAAAAAAAAAATTTGAAAACCTTCTGGAAAAACACTCACAACCTTGAGGCCATGGAGCCTAATCATAAGTTCAAAGACTTTTGACTTGTAATGGAAAGCTGGTAGGAAAAAAATAAATTAGGTAGTTAAATTTTCAGCCTTCAATATGATAGTTGATTTTTAAATTTTACATGCAAATAATAATGAAACATATTAAAGGAGGTTATTAAAAATCTATAAATACAAAAGAATAAGAACATCTTGCAATATCAGATTTCGTGAGTCTCCAGGATTACCGAGTCCAAACTGAATAACTGGTCAGATTTATTCAACTGAAAAAGTTTCAACAGATCCRAAATCCAAATGTCATCTTAAAATATAGCAAGAAAAAAAATAAGACATTTTCTGCTTACCATATAACTTTTCTTCTATTACTCTCAATGAAATGATAAAATATAAACATTCCATATTTGTTAACATGTTAAATGCTATGAGTTCTGAGGAACAAAATATGTTGTATACTTTAAATTCTCTTTTTCACATGCATTTAGATTATTTAGTAACCCAAATCATTGCTAGGTGTTTTATTGTTGTTTTTGTTGGTGTCATTTTATGAAATGTATATAGCATTTTCTACCATTAGACGACAGTTTGATAGCAGTGGAAAAAAAAACTTATTCTCAAAAATTTGAACTCTGTCTGTATATCTATGGGAAAAAACTCAAAGGGATATTTGGAGATGTGTATTATTTATATTTCATTCCTTTCCCTGTGGAATTAAAAAGACATTGTTGATTATTGCATACTCATACAAAAGTAAGAGTAGCACAGGGATTTCTAAAGATTGCTTGGATAACTTTAAAAATATAGAATGATAAGATTTAATAGGTCTTAAATTTAAAGTACCTTCTTGCTTGCTTATCCTCCATTATGTAATGATGCATCATTTGTCATTGTGCTTTCTATTAGTCATACTAAATATGCATGCGAACCAGTAAATACTTTAGGGGAATATTTAAAAATGAATAAGTACCCCTGGGGAAGAACAAGAATGAGAATTGGAGGGTGTCAGTAATAGAGTATCTCTTGCCTTAGATGGTGGTTACATGCATGTACCATTTGGGGTAAGTTCATTCAGTTATTCGTGCGTGTCAGGTTTTATGCACTTTATCTACATATACTTCAATACTTAACCTCAGACTGATATGCTACATTAGGTAACCAAATTTAGAAATAGGAATAAAGAAGTTATAATTTGTGACTGTAAGCATAAAAAGATGACCTTATACAGTTTATGCCTGTATTATTATGTGTAGCCTAACCCAGGGACTGCCAGGATCCTGACTGAGAAGATGTAGCTGTCTGCTAATGTAAGAAATATGCAATATGTGGAAAAGAGAAAATTGTGTTTTTTTGCAGCTTTTTCAACCTGGGTAAAATCAGTTAGATTGCTTATCTTACTGATGCCACAGAAATGGTTACAATTTACAGAATCAAAAGCCAGGAAATATACATATTGTGTTAGCTGTGATAGACAAGCCTGGGCAGGGGATAGTCTCCATTATTAGCTTCCTTGGCATCTGTCAGGCCAGGGTGGGGACAACTCTTCAGCCTTCACTCTTGGCATAAGGAAGCTGCTCTCAGTTTTAGAGTGTCCATATCTTCATTCAGACTGTTTCAGTATTGGTTTCCACACTCAATGATGGGGCAGGAAAAGCGTGCCAGATATTGGTTCCTCTCCACATCTACCCTTCTGCTTCCTCCCTTGTGTTGTCAAAGCTGGACACTGTAGACACTTCTCCTTTGCCAGCTGAATGGATGTTAGGCCTTACCATTTAAGGGGTTGGAGAGATACTGTAAGGATTTTGCTTCCACTTGCTTCCATATTCTTCCTCTGACACTCAGCATACTGTTGTGTAAGGGACCTGATACTGTTCACTTCATCTATAGGTGACACCCTCTGTGAAGATTCTCTGCTTGCCAGAGGCCACATCTACCTTCTGGGGCCCTCACACTATAGCAATTTAACCATCATGAGAGGTCTAGTGGTAATCACAAACTCTCCGGAGATGCGCAGGTCTGAAACTCAATGGTGGTATGTTTGTGCATGAGGGGTGGAGGGGTGGGGTAGGAGGAAAGGTTCTTCCAAATCTGCAAACTCTTGCCTTATTCTTTCTCCCTCAGCTTATAGGCAGTAACTCTTATTTGATACCTCTGTAGCACAGAAACATTACTCTATTTCTTTTAATAGTAAACTACCTTTCATTCTAGTTATAATCCTTTATACTAAGGGCTCCTTATTAAAATTTTAGTGTGATTGCTGTCTCTTGATTCAACTCTAAATTAGACTCAGGCATACTCCAAGTATGTTATATATGATAAAAAAAATTAGTATCTACTCCAATAAATCTTTGCTTGTCCACTCTGAGATATTGATTATGCATTTCATCTTTAGTACAATTTGTTCAGTCCCCAAATATAAACCTACATCTATCTATATAATGTTTATAAAAATAATCTATAAAATCTTCTCAAACTTCAAATCTTTTATCTGAAAAAATAAATTATTTAATTTGTTTTCTATTCATTTCTGTATCTAAACAAAGCAAGTGATTACAATTTTTGTATAATTAGTCACAACTTTATTGTGGTTTAAGTAAGTGAGCATCTGTATGAGACTTCTTCAGTTTGGCATAACACAGTCTTTTCTGACTTGTAAATTGAGTTGAATTTAGATCATCCTTACTTCGATAATTGTTTAAAAGGAGAAAATAAGCATATGTATTGATTAGAAATTATTTTATCTTTTGATGGTGTCAGGATTCTGGGTCACAATGAAGAATATTTTATTTACATTCCATTGCACTTGTACTTCTTTTTAAAATAGACAACAGAATATACTTAGGAATTTTTATGATTCTTGGCTATATATTATGTCTCCTACTTTATTTTAAAAGTGTATTGTGGGGCTGGGGTTGTGATTCAGTCTTAGAGTGAGGCACTGGGTTCRATTCTCAGCACCACATATAAATAAATAGATAAAATAAAGGTTCATCAACATCTAAAAAATTTTTTAAAAAAGTGTATTGGGAAGCTGGGGTTGTGGCTCAAGTGGTAGCCTCACTTAGCACCTGTGAGGCACTGGGTTTAATCCTCAGCATCACATAAAAAAATAAAATAAAATAAAGATATTGTATCCACCTAAAACTAAAAAACAAATATTAAAAAAAAGTGTATTGCGACTTCATTCTTGTTTCATCACTGAGGGCAAAGGCCACTCTGAGTTATTACCATTCTTCTCTTGCCTCCCAGTCTCTCAGCTCCTCAAATACAGCCCTTTGAGGGGAAATGATGGTAATATTTTAGTGTATATATTTATATTAAGTGTTTCTACCAACCAGTGTTTAACATTAATATGGGATA